ATAGAGAAGAAAAAATATACGTTTTTCACGGATGAGAAGGAAGGTGGGGGCCCCGCTTGCTCTCTCTTTCTCGGCTTAAAGACGTGGCCCAGGTGAACCACGTTTTTCTCGCTTTTAACGTTTCGTATTATGTGATTATTTACGTAACGACTTGAAAAAGATAGAGAAAGACAGACAGACAGACAGACAGACAGAGAGAGAGAGAGAAAGATAGAGAGGGAGGGAGAGAGAGAGAGAAAGAACGAGTTTACGTTCGGAATCGAAATTATCTAGATATCTGACATATGAAAGTTTTCACGCCGTAGAATTACGCTTTTGATTTCATATTTAACCCTTTAATGCGTCATTCATTTCTTTTTTTTTTTTTTTTTTTTTTTTTTTTCCCAATTCAGTATACACATTTCTAAAGGAAGTGTTGAACTAATCGTTGGGAAAGAAAATTACATTGTAATTATTTCTACGACGAAACACGTGTATCGAAGTGATTTAAAAGGTAATTGACATGGTCGTATGATATATCTCAAAAATAATTATACCAAAACTGCTTCGTTAAAGATAGATTATTAAAATCAAATTTCATATATAATTCATGATTCATTTTCATTAATGTATCATTCATTCATTCATTCGTTCGTTCGTTCGCTCATTTTCTGTTTTATTTTATATTTTTCTACTTACAAATTTTCGAAACACTATGACGCGACTGATTCAGGTATAACCAGAACGCAATAATATAATAGTAATAATAATAACAACAACAGCAACAACAATAATAATAATAATAATAATGATAATAATAATAATAATAATATGTGGGACAGGTCGAGTGAAATGTAACAAGCATAAATATTAAACCAACCATTGGAAATATCATGTTGTAATTCTAGAACGAAGTATGCATTGAAGAGGACTTTAAAAATTGATTGATAGGATCATATTACTATATCTTACGAATGATTATATCAACTTTTTTTCCTTAAAGGCAGATTATTAAAAATCAAATTTCATAATTGACCCTTTAATGCGTCATTCATCTTCTTCCCTTTTTTTCCCCCTCTTTTTTTCTTAACAAAACTTTTAATACATAAATATCAAACTACGTAATCGTTAGGAAAAATTTAGGAGATCATAATTTTACGCGCGTTGTGGTGGATTTGAGAGAAATAAATTGTTAAAGGATCGTACATTACGATCGAAAATCACCGATCGTAAATAGAAATCCTCAAAAAAAAAAAAAAAAAAAAAAAAAAAAAAAAAAAAAAAAAAAAAAAAAAAAAAAAAAAAAAAAAAAAAAAAAACAATTAGGAAATGAGAAATATTCGATGAGAGATTAAGAAAAGAAAAAGATCAAAGAAAAAAGGATAAAGTAAGGATTGGACCAAAGGAGGAGTTCAATGTTCAAACAATTAAAACCAAGTGTTCTCTTTAAATTATAATTATCTCGTATATATAGCGTAAAGAGTATGGTTAATAATCCGATGATACTTTCGTGACAAGGACGCTTATAATTGTAAGAGCAAGTGTTGGACTCGATAAAGCGGTAAAATCGCGAGTAGCGTGTAACGGGAGTCTTCTTCGATTTCGCGAGCGCGAACCTTCCGCGCCGTTTTACCGTTAACGACCTAAATCGGTGTATGTGTGGGTTTGTGTGTATGTGCGTGTGCGTGTGCGCGTGCGTGCATGCATGCATGCATCTGTATCTGTTTATATGTCCTCTGTGCGTGTAAAAGAAAGAAAGAAACGAGAGACGTTCCACCGTTTTGTGATTAGCAAAGGAATGAAAAAAAAAAAAAAAAAAAAAAAAAAACCGAGCTTAGAGTATATAGACAAATCAATAAATATATTATTACGATAAGTTTAGAAGTCGAGAAACATATTATTACATAATGAATAGTATAAAGTTTAATGATTATGATCGAATGTATATAAATAAAAGGAAATGAAAGGGAAAGGGAAAGAGAATATA